GACAACACCTGTTGAATTGCGATTTTTTTTTATCTCTTTGAATCCAATCACTCATTTATGTTACTATTGCAAAAATAAAGATTGAGATTTGCTTTGCTTTGCATGATTATAATTCCATGCAGATACAGATAGTTTACATTCCAAAACTAGTGAACATACTAAGAGCATTTGCTTATGGATTTTTGACAGTATTTCAATATTTAAGTTATATATATATATATATTTTTTTTTTAAGTTACACATTTTTCAGACAGATAACCCACCAGATTATTAGAATTAGGCTACATCATTCAGAGATGGGAGTAAGTCACACATGTTCAAGTCACAAGTAAGTCTCAAGTCCTTACCATCAAGTCTCAAGCAAGTCTAAGTCGCAGGTACACACAACCAAGTCAAGTCAAGTCAGTGGTTCACTTCAAGCAAGTCAAGTCGAGTCCTGCTAAGGGTCAAGTCAAGTCGAAGTCAAGTTACAATACCAAACAGAAAAAAAGTAGAGTTTATATTGGCCTCAACCTTATTTATTTTTCCCTCAGAAATGATTACTTTTCTTATACATTTATATCGTAATATTAATATAATTTATTATAGGATGGATGTATTTATGATGATCAACATTTGGAATTATTATTATTATAATAACAATTATACGAAAAATGTTGAAGATAAATCATTTGAAGCTAAATTCACAAGTGTGATGCATTAATTATATTGGTTTTATAGTAAATGCCATATGTTTAACTTTGCTTATATATTTTTTTTATGGAATATCACCGGCAGACATTAACTCTCCCATTAAGAGCCAATATGTGACCCCTTAAATAGATTTCCAGGGGCATTTTTTTATGTTCTAACAATTTTTTTTCTAACCATGCATTTATACTGCAATTACAACACCATATATAATGTTATGAGATTAATGATTTAAATATAATCATTTTAATATAGAGAAAATTAGATGCTAAAAAATAATAAATTATATATATTTTTAATTATGAAATTAAAACCGCCAATAGGTGGCGCCAAATCACCGTCTTAATGTACGAGTCATAGAAGCATTCATTCAATTGATTCGTTCAAAACGGTAGATTCACTAAGCCACTCTTTGTTTACTGAACTGTTTACTGTTTTGTTACTGAACTGAACTAAAGATCATATGTTATAAATATAAAAATAACTCATAGCCTATTAGGGCCATTTTTTCCACCACATCTTGAATTTTGGGTGCATGCCTATGAATTCTGCTGGCATTTTAGCCCCCATTTTAATCTATTGACAGCCTTAAGCTTTATTTGAAAACATAATTTTGTATAAAGAGGCATGCTGTTTTGACCACTGTTCTCTCTAGCTTAAACGTTAGTCAAATTTACTAAAGATCATATGTTATAAATATAAAAATAACTCATAGCCTATTAGGGCCATTTTTTCCACCACATCTTGAATTTTGGGTGCATGCCTATGAATTCTGCTGGCATTTTAGCCCCCATTTTAATCTATTGACAGCCTTAAGCTTTATTTGAAAACATAATTTTGTATAAAGAGGCATGCTGTTTTGACCACTGTTCTCTCTAGCTTAAACGTTAGTCAAATTAACTATAACGAACAGATTAAACAAGCTATAGCTTAGCCTACTTTTAGACGTGGTGAATGAAGTTCGAGGTTGTGATGGTCGTGTCCGATATCCCTTGCCAGTTATTATGCGTACAGCAAATCTTCTTGTAGGAATATGGTCAATTTCTAGTGTTTATATCCAAAAAGAAACGATGCTGGGAGATGTTTTTGTATTTAGCGCGCTCACCGCGATGTAGGCCTATGTTTTTCCTGTGCTTGTGCAGCGTCACGCAATCGCGCAGAATCTGATGACTGCGTCAATGGTTCCGTTGCTTTCATTTTGTTCATCAATTGATGTTGCGATGATTTATATAAAAAAATTATATAAAGTCATTCTCGAGTCATACAGTTCAAGTCAAGTCAAGTCTCGAGTCATTGGATCTCAAGTCAAAGTTATAGGTCGAGTCATTTTCTTAATAGTCAAGCAAGTTTCAAGTCCTTAAATTTGCTCATGTGACTCGAGTCCCCCATCTCTGACATCATTTAAAAAAGAAAGAGAAAGTTCAAAACACTGCAATCCCTTATAAAACCTTTATATAAAACCCTTATATAAAAAAAAAGTTAATAGCGAAAAGTCAGGATCCCTCACCTAGTGAGCAAATTTCTCTCCCTGGGAGTCAAAATCTTAAAGGGGTCATATAATGCCATTTTTGTACAAGCTAGTATGATTCTTTAGGGTCTAAATTAAAAGTTTGTAATATACTTTAATTAAAAATTCTCATTAGTATTGTAAGAAAACACTTATTTTACTTGGTCAAAAACAGCTCTGTTTTCAGCACGCCGTTTCAGTGCATATGACTTTAAATGATAATGAGCTTTGCTCACCCCGCCCCTCTGTTCTGTGCGTGCCGTACACCGTTTGTAACACAATAACACAATAACCATAACGCGTTGTTCAGTATAAACGTGGGATTATGAATTATATTGAGAACATCATACATAGAAAACATGCCGTAATGTACCCTAAGTGTAAACCTTAGACGCATTCATTGTGAAGCGTGCAGCTAGCGATTTGCAAAGATTAATATAAATATTAATATAAAGTTTAATAAAACGTTACACTCACTTCAGTTGTTCTAGAGGTTCAGCAGGAACACGAATAGCTGGTACCGATCCTTTTTTCATGAGCAGCTTCTTAGCAAAACCAGCTTTATACTGACCCTCGTTTATAAAGCAGTCTGGTGAGAAATGATTCGCGCAAACATGAAAGCATTGACGTTGCTTGTGGGGAATATTCCCTTCGAAAACAAACTCAGCCACTGCGTCTTCAGCGGTTCGGATTTAGGAACAATAAAATGACTGCTGTGTTCGTTATTACACCCAAGAACAGAACACCACAATCGCTTAGACGCCATTCTGCTCATAGACAGTGCTCCAGCATATCAACAATGACCGCGCCGGTCCGCGCAGACTATGATTGACAGCTCGCTCACGAGCGAGGGCGGGTCTGTGTCGAAACGATGCTGTCAATCAACAATCGTGGGAGGGGCTTCCGAGCATGTGACGTCACAAAATCGAACGGCTCAATTTGAGGCAGGGGAAAACATATAAGGAGATTAAAACAAAAACACTGGATGGATTTTTATCATTTTATGATGGTTGTGTACAGGCACTCCCAACACACATTTCAGTACAATCAACTTGTAAAAGTGCATGTACCATTATATGACCCCTTTAAAACAAAAGATCAAATCTATCCCAGTATCCAAAAGTAATTGACCTGGCCTTTCATTGGAATTCATCAGATTTGCATTCTTTCTATATTTAACAAGTCATAAAAAAGTCGTTGTTAGTCAAAAACTGCCTTACATTGTGAAATTTCACGTTTTTAGCTGTGACAACTTTATGTTATTTCATGCAAGTCCACATTCATACGCGTTAATTATTAAGAGTTACATTGGAGTTTGATGCCCTGCTGCCATTAAAGTTCTTGTAAGTAATTTGTTGAACTGTTTTGAGTGAGTGTCCCAAAAAAATCAAGTGATTTTTAGCATGTTTTAGCATATAGGCTACATGTACCCTTAGTAATTACTCTGTCTTTTGAGTTTTTCATGGGTTTTCATGTTCAGTTCAGTGGTTGGCACTTACCAAAGTGAGCACAATTGATGTCACAAAGATTGGTGACTTGTCAGCTGATATGATTCCCTATAACCTTTTGCACTAGATTATGTGTGAGTGCCAAGTTAGAGCAGTGTGGAATGCTTATAGTGGCGCAAGATTAATGGAGTGAAATTTAGGCCTATGTGACTGATATCATATCGATCTTTTTTTTACTCATTCACATGTTCTTACTTACTCATTCACATGTTCCACAATTTTTAAGTGCATACAAAAAAAAAATCTAAAATAGCCTTGAGTCACTTTAAACTGTAAATGTGTGCCATATACCATATTTCAATAGAAGTAGAGAGAAATATATATATATATATATAGGCCTATATATAGTATATATATATATATATATATATATATACGGGCAAAATTTATTTATATTTAAATAGGCAAATACTTAAGAGTCTGTGACTGGATAAGTGATTATTATGTTACAATACAAGATTTTTGACTAAAAATTGATGCACCTCTTGATAATAAATGTTGTGATGTCATTTCCATCAAGAGGTGGATCAATTTTTGGTCAAGATCTTGTATTGACAATGCAAGACTCAAGCACTCTGTAAAGTCTCCTCCAGCACATCCCAAAGACTTTTTAAGAGTCTTTTTAAGAGATTTAAGATCTGGACTCAGAGGTGCTTATTCATCTTTGAAAATTATTTTTCATGCTCCCTCCCAACCATCCTTTCACAATTTGAGCCTGATGAAGTTAGCGTAAGAGATGGAAGGATATCCACCCAGGTAGAAACAGGAAGAAGTGTGCATTTTGGAAGTCATGGGTCACTTATTATAGAAAGATCCGAGACACTAATTCTTGTTTTGGCAGTTACACGGCCCCAACAACCCAAAATAAATTGCATGAAACTCCAGGGCCTTTGAATTCAGTGTGTGTAGACATAAGGCTTCACCAAAGAGTGCCCTAATTCTGAAACATTGTACATCTATAAGTATTAAGCCATCTATCTATAAATCTGAATTCGTCCATATAGTGGTTTTAATTAATTTTATAATGTTAGTGCTGTAAGTACAACACTGCTGGTAAAACTTGAATGATGATATAATGCTAAGCAAAGGTGTACGAGATTCACACCACGCATACTTGACTTTCATGGCTATAAAAAACACCAAATGACCAGCAAAGGTTAGTCTTGACATTACCAATGATGATGGCGTGTCATTCGTGCTCGTTTCTCGCTAATCTAGAAAGTTGATGCAAATGCTGGAAAACGTCCTGCCAGTTATTTGCATGCAAACAAATGTGTGAGGATCATTTCAAAAGCTGACTTCTGATCAGCATCTATAGTATAGTTCACTAAAGCGGAGTTGGATTGCGTGTCTTTGGTATAATGGTCAAATTCAGCTGGAGTTTGGGAGTAGACACAGTTGTTTCACTGGGATAGAAAGAGTATATCTCCTGCCACTCACAGCTGAGGTATCTGCATCATGGAAACTGGTAAGTATAAATTGACCTGTTATTGGTGATTAAAAACTCTGTAGCTTGAGCTAAATTTTTGCCATGCTGTTTAATCTTTAAGCTAAGATTAATCTTGGAATGGTTGAACTGTATTATTTAATATTTAACTCTAATGTTAACCGGTCTGATTACGAAATGACAAGAAATCTTCATAATGGACGAGACTCAGTGTACTTTGAGCCTGTTTAAAATCACTGTTGATGCTGCAAAAATGGGATAAATGTGATATTTCAAACACAACCGCTTTCGATGCTTAAATACCAGCAGAACTTCAGAGCTCCTCAAATTCATTCACGAAGCTGGGGTCTTTTACATAACGCTACAATGATTTTTGCATGTAATTTCCTATCATGGACATTTTAAATTGCAAATACGTGCTTCCCAGGAATCCTCTTTTTTTTTTTTTTTAGGAAATAAACTTTAAACTTTAGTTCATATGTCGGTATATAACTTGGCACTTGCACAGATACTCTACATGCAAATGGTTAGTGAGACATATCAGGCTGACATTTTGAGTCACAAAAGCAGATTTGACATAAACATAAAATGATAATCACCCCCTGATGATGTTTCAACAGGACAGAGTTAGTGTTTGTAAACTGGCCAATTTGCATTGACCAAAACCAAAGATAATTTCCATGCCAGTTATATAGATGCGCGCCATAAAACTGACTAGAGATACTGTACCTGGTCATAAATGAAGCTGCAAATGAGAAATAATGATGTAAACGATGTAATAAATGTGCAATTATTAAACAAATCTTAGCGTCTGAATATCAACAGTTTTATATTCAATGCATGCTGTATTTGTGATTTGTGTGCAACTGATTTCATCTGATATAGACATTCATTTATGGTATGTTTGTATTAATATTGTACATAAACTGAATAACATCAGCCATCCAGAGTTAATCAGCACACATTTTAAAGTACTTTTCCTTGTACTTTACACTATTGTTTTGCAGAATGCTCAAAAAGAGTGTATCAGGGAGTCCGGGTCAAGCACACAGTGAAAGATCTGCTGGCAGAAAAGAGGTCACGGGAGACGAGCGGGCCACGCTACACGGTAATTCCACCGCTTAATCTTACCTGGTCAATACCCTCAACTGAAATATACCCCGCCCTGTCATTCACAATGCTTCCTTTCACTCCATTCACCCTGCCACTCTGCTCTTCTTTCACATATGCAAACAGTCAGTTTAAAACAGTTGGTATTTTCTCTGCCCCGCCACTTTATTTGCTCATTGGCTTATCTTTTTATTCTAATGATGAACCTACAGCCTCTGATATACAAGCCGTCGGAGTCTTGTCCTTTTCTCACACGGGTGGGATGAAGCAAAGCCCGTTAGTGAATACCTGCACATAAGCGGCAAACAATAGCAGCAGTGCTGATGGTCATGAGCTCCTGAGGTTTGGGAGTAAATCATCCTTTTGCTGCTGTAGTATGGCTATGCAAAGTCAAACACTCGCACACCTGCTCTACTGTATTGTTCCTCCTGCAGACCACAGACAAGTCGCCTGTTGTCACTCTAGACAAGCTCAAATCAGACTTGCAGACATCTGGCTGCACAAGAGGGAAAGCTTTTCTCCGTGTCTATGGCACACTAAGCTCGCTTTTGTTTGAATAAGTAGTGTATAATGTTTTCTGTCTCATCAATGTTCAGAGCTAATAATATTAAAAGTAAAAAAAAAAAATGAAATTTTACACAAACATTTATATTCAATTATAATGTGTAATACCTAAAGAACATAAGCATTGGGAAAATAAAATGAACCTTTCTAAAAATGTATATATTAATATATGCAATTACAATTTAAAACTACAAATTACATACAAGAAATTAAAAGTAGTAAAATGAAATACATTTGTAATCGAAATTATTCCACCCCCATTGCGAATCAGGTTTATTGGCAAAATTTACAGACATTCAGCTGTTTGCAGTGAACAAATCAAACAAAAGAAATTGAAATAGCTCAACACAAAAAATATTTTAAGTGGTTTCCCCAAATTCAACTGAAAATGCAACTTTGAATGATTTCTGCTGTCTCAAAATTATGCAACCCCTTCATAGCAACCATCTTTAGTACTTAGTAGAAGACCCTTTTGGTGTTATGACCTTCTGCAAACAAGATGTATAACCAGACAGAAGCTTCTGGCAGCGTTTCTGAGGAATCTTAGCCTCTTCCTCGTTCAGTAATATTTTTGGGTTTGCGTGCTGCAACTGCTTTCTTCAAATCCCACCATAGATTTTCTATGGGGTTCAAGTCAGGTGAATGTGATGGCCACTGTAGAATTTTCCAGGACTTCTTCTGCAACCAAACCTTGGTGGAATTTTAAGTATGCTTGGGATCATTGTCTTGTTGAAAGGTCCATTGACAGCTTCAGCTTCCTCACTGACGGCATGACGTTTTCTCCTAGGATTTCCTGATATACAAAATGAATCCATCTTGCCTTCCACACGCTGCAGGTTTCCAGTTCCAGAGGATGCAAAGCAGGCCCAGAGCATCACCGAGCCCCACCATGCTCAACTGTAGGCAGAGTGTTCTTTTCAACATATGCTTCATTCTTCCTCCTCCAGACATACCGCTGATCCATAGGGCTGAAAAGTTCCATGAAAATAGAATCCCAAAACTTCTGTGGCTTATTTATATGATTTTGTGCTTTTGGGTCAGTAGTGGTGTACGTCTTGGAGTTCTGGCATGCATTTATTACGCGCCTTACTGTGCAAGCTGAAACCTTAGTGCCTGTTGCCACCAAGTCTTACTGCAGGTCTCTCGAGGGTTTTTCTGATCCTGTCTTCTCAGAAATCTGGTTGCAGCCGTTGATAGCTTCCCTTTTCTGCCTCGTCCAGGTAGTGTAACCACTGTTAACCAACTTTAACTTTGAACTTGCGAACTATGCTTCAAACGGTGTCTCTCGGAACATTTAGTGCCTTCGCTATCTTATCCTGTTCCTTGTTTGTGAAGGGCGAAGATATCTTCTTTTAACATTTTGTTCCGTTCTTTTAACTTAACCATATTTCTAAGATTCAGTCAAACGTGACACTCAACAAACCTAACCAGCTCAGATATTTCATGTGTTCTAGCTCAAGCACACCTGATCCAACTAATGAAGCCCTTGATAAGTTGCATCACGTGTGCTTGAGACAACACCTGTTTTGCAGATTTGTGTTGTTGTGAGGGATTTTATTCAGGGGGTTGAATCATTTTGAGACAGCAGTAGTCATTAAAAGTTGAATTTTCAGTTGAATTTGGGAAAACCACTTGAAACATTTGTTGTGTTAAGCTATTTCAATTTCTTTTGTTTTATTTGTTCATTGCCAACAGCTGAAAGTTTGTAAATATTTCCAATAAACCTGATTTGCAATGGGGGTTGAATAATTTCGATTACAAATGTATTCTAAACATTAACATAAATGCAAATTATATTTGTCTGTGTTTGTGTGTGCCATTTAATCAAAATATTGTACTGTTAAGAATGTTTAATATATATATTAGGTTAAGAATATATAAAAAAAATGTTTATGTATAAAATAAGTATTAAAATGAAATATCCTTAACATTAATGTATATATATATACACAATTCCAATTTACAACTACAACATTTTTTATATTCTTATGTTAGTGTGTAATTTAATTGAAAAATTCTAATGTTAAGAATATTCCATTTTTAATACTTTTAAATATATATATTATATTTCCCACAACATTTTCCTAAATAAATAATCCCATTAGCTTAGAAGAATTACAGAAAATCAGTGTCATTTTCTCATATGAGTTTTTTTTTTACAGTTGTGACTTCAGATTTCCCTGTGTGACTTATTATTGGTTCTTTCAGTCTAGACTGGCAATTAATCATTTATTATATGTAACAGCTGAAAAGTAACTATGTTTTCAATGCATAAAAAAGTGTATGTAGGTGTCAATCATTGTGATCCCACAGGGACACGACTGAGACCAAACACATAATACAATGGCTGAGCAGGGGGAGGGTTGCACAGGTGAATCGAAGCATGTCGAGGCCACACAGAACAAAAATTGCTTTATAATAAGCTTACTTCTGTATCTATGGCCTTTTATATAGGGTAGAAGAGCCATCTGCAGACTTCAGCAAACACTGTCCACAGAAGTCATGTTCAAACACAGGACCAAAACAATACAGACACTTGCCAAAGGTTCAAGAGGAACAATAGTAAACTACTACTCTTGTATAATCTTTGCTTTAAAAAAAAGTTGAAATAATAAAAGTGGCATTAAGAGAATAACAAAACTTTTAAAGTGAGAGCTGATATTACAGAATGGCAAAAAATATTTGAAAAAAAGTTAGGCATTACAGTTTTTCTCTGTCGCTTTGGTACATTTCTCGAATCATCCTCGAAATGTGCAAAACAGTAAGTGCATTTCAATTAGATACCAATTCATACAAATAGCAAAACACCAGGATTACCTGCAAAAGCCAGTCTCTTGCTCAAAATCCTTAGTTCATCTCTCAAAAGTAAATATCTGTGTCAATGAACATGTCAGTGCCCTCAGAATGACAAGTCCTTGTGTCATTGTGTATGGCTTAGTCATGTTGTCAATATAACAGTGTTCTGATGTAAACTATATATAACAGGGATGTTCTGATGTAAACTATAGATAAAGTTTTGATGACAATTATTGAAGGTTACACACTTTAGTGTGTGTGGGAGTTTGATTGCAAGAGACTGGACAAGATTCACATTTACGCTTTTACTGTTTGTACTGTAATTTGTTGACAGACCATGTCATTGCAATACAGAAAAGAAAGAAAGCACTGCATAGCACAAAGAAAACAAAAAACAAAAGTAGAAATGTGAACATCGGACAATCTCCTTTAAGAAAAAACTGTGCATGGATATTATGACAACTTGTTCAACCATTTTGCATGTAAAGACTTATGCTATGAACTAATGCCTAAATGTTGTGGGGGGTGAGACTATTCAACAGAGACCCATTATAATACATTTTGATCAACATGACATAAGCAATTGATAATGTAGGAAACAGCAGAGAATTTTATGTAATCATTTGCATGGATGTACCAAAGCATATGCAACTTGTTTAAAGAAATGAGAAACTGCTTTTTTGATGTGCACAAGTGACACAATAAAAATACAGACAGACAGACAGACAGACATATATATATATATATATATATATATATATATATATATATATAGATAGATAGATAGATAGATAGATAGATAGATAGATAGATAGATAGATAGATAGATAGATAGATAGATAGATAGATAGATAGATATCACTTTGAGACATTCAAATGAATGTCAACTTTTTTAATGTCAGTAAAATGGCATTTTGTTTCTAGCAACAATAAGCAATACAATCATCTAGGCAGCAATTCAAAAGCAAAGTCATAATACATTTGAGACAGAGAAAGTTAAGCTTTATGTGGGAAGAAAAGGTGTTTGCATGGTATTGAACTTCATTTTACTGTATCCCACTCGTGTACAGTAGAGCTATTTCATTGCTTGTCGGCTCAAGGGCCACAAACCACCAACCCCCCTCACTTCCACCCACTCCAGCGTGGTTTATCTCGAGGCTGGATCAGGTGCAGTGCTACAGCCTTGGAACTCTTCAACAGCCTCATTTCCATACCATGCCTTCAAAGAGGCACTGAGGCGTAGGTCATTCACATAGGAAAGTCTTGGAACGAGCACATGACATTCAAATGCTAGCCTCAAAATTTGCTTGCCCTCCAGCCTGCGCTGCCTTGATATCAGCTCATTTATTCTAGCATTATGCAAACGAAAAAGAGTGTGCGTCTGTCTGTATTGCCTCACCAATAGCTCTCAATTACAAAAGTGTATGTTACAAATCTCTAGGTCCCACTGTCCTTTTGGAAGTAGAATAATTGAACCTTAACTGGACTCTTCCTCTACCCTTACAAAACTAGGCTGCAAGAGAAAGTGAGATATACAACACTTTTTTTTTTTTTTGAAAGGCTGTGCTGATGAACATAATTGTGTTTTTGATTTTGGTTATTCATCAGATCAGATTGTTTATTTTGAACACTTGCATTATAGTGAGAAATCTCTCTAAGATTTGGGGGGCAGTTTAATTAGATGTATGCAAATATTTTGTGCTTTAGCTTGTCATGTGCCATTAATACTAGATTGCGTTAGTCAAACGAGGTGATCACAGAAAACTGATGATTAATGGGAATCATTCTTTTGTTCTAGGGTGTATCCTCTCCTCCGTTAGTTCAAATGACTGGTGAGTCTCCAATTCAAAATTCAGAAATGTGCAATGCCATTTCTAGATACTGTAAATAATGTATCAGTCATGATTTATTATCATGTATTAATCAAAATTGTTGTGGTCTGTTCAGGTTCTCACATGCTTCCAAGTTACTACGGCATGAGAAGACCTTTCATTTCAGACACAGAGTTTTGTTCCTCAATGAAACCATTTTCTACTGATGTCTACCCCTCATCGCTAACGGGAAAGTCTCTGTCATGCGACACCGGATGCGTGTCTGGTTATTCCTCTCTCATAGACAGCTACTACCCGGAGTCTTTTGGAGACTACCGCAGCACACCTTTCTCCAGCGGAGGAAGTGCAATATTCTCGCCATCTGCATTGTCTTCTTTACTCCCTCCTTACTCCAGTGACCCTTCACATTATTTGCTGGTAAGATCAGGCACATCGAGCAAGAAGGCACAGTCAGAAAAGATGTTTGTGATGTTTAAGTGTATAAATCAGTCATATGTCCATCTGCCCATGTTGTATAGGGGGAAAGGTCTATGCTGCTTTGTGTTGGAAATATTCAGTAGTTCAGCTATTTTTAAGCTACTATATATAGGTCATATCTTTCTGAAATGATGTAAATGTTATGGGCATATGGGCCAGAGTTCAAATGAATCAATACTTTAAATAACATGGTTGCAGGCTGTTTCCTATACCACAATTGCTTTGAAAACAAAACAAAACAAAACAGTATTAAAATATTTATATAACACATTTTTAAACCATTTTAATATTATTTCATATTATATTTTCTATACTCCTCTATATTAAATTATATTTAAATTAAATAATAAACTGATATTAAAAAAAGATTTTAGGAACATATAAATATAATATGTTTTGTTTTTTACGGGCATATGGGACAATGTTTAAATGAATCAGTAAATTAAATAACATGTTTGCTGTTTCATACAAGTAGTATGAGCTTTCAAAAATTGGTAACACTTTATTTTGATGGTCCCTTTTGAACATTATGTTGACAATAAGCAACTTTGCAACTACATGTCAACTTATTCTAACCCTAACCCCACCAGTCGACTAAATCTTTACTTACACTCTAATGAGAGTTAGTGGACGTGTAGATGCAACGTTACTTATAGTCAACAGAATGTGTTAAAGAGACCATCAAAATAAAGTAACCAAAAAATTAAACAATTGCATAATAAAAAAAATTATTTTGTCATTTAAATTTTTATATTGGCTAGTTACATTTTCTATATTTTTCTATTTTTATTTAAATATATTATATATATTAATTTATTTCCCCTGAAAACTTAAATTAAACATATTAAAATTAGTAGAAAAACCATTTCATCCAAGTATTATAGCCTAGGTTTTTATAGGGCAAATAAGAAGAAATGTTTTTGTAATTTAATTTCATTTCATTGGCACAGTTCAAATGTCAAATTCAAATCAATAAATTGAATAACAAGTTTGCAGACAATACATGTTTTTTTATATAATTAAATATATATTTTTATATTTATATTTAATTATTCTAAAAAACTACTACCTGCAAACTTGATATACTTTATATACTTTTATATATTTTTATGAAATTTAAATTATGAATTTAAATTAGAAATAACACACTTTTCCTGACAATTTAATTCTGAAGTATTAGATAAGTCAAAATGCTGGGTAGTACTTATTACTTATTAATAATACTTATTGTAATTAATGGGGTTATTATTCTGATTTCCATTAATTAGATATACATTTCAGACAGCTTTCCTTTCAATAAAACCTATAGGTTATTTGAGGGAAATCATATTTGCATTCATAGTATTGCTATTATGACGTATCTTCAATGAAAATAGGGGAAGGGGGACGCGGTCTTCTTACCGGGGCCATCTTACCCCTCTTTTAATATTTCACATTTTGTGCTTTAACAACTAAATTAGCAAATGTTTCTATTTGTTTCCTATAACACATGCACATTCTAAACTTATATCTAAATATGTTAAAATGTTCAATTAAATACACATTGTTCTTAAGAGGGGCATCTTCCCCCCATCTTCCTTAATTTTTTTGGAAAAAGAAAACAATATTTATATAGGTTTATTCTGGCCTTGACAACATCATACTGGCTTTTTTGTTTTGTTTTACTCTTTGTGCCATTCTTTTGCATATACTGTACATTGCAATATACATTAAAACTATTGTCTGTTGTCTCTCCCACTTTCTGCATTCATCTGGTTTTAAAGGATATTGGCTTTAGAGGAGGTTCAGTCAATTTGTAAATTTAGTGTCTTGTCATTTGAGAATGTTCTTAAAGGGATAATTCACCCAAAAATTAAAATTCTGTCATCATTTACTCATCCTCAAGTTGTTCCAAACCTGTATGAATGGGCCCATCAACTGTTTGGTTACCAACATTATTTTAGAACGGGTTTAGAACAACTTGACAACTTGGTGAGTAAATGATGACAGAACTTTCATTTTTGTGTGAACTAGGGTAATGAGTTTTTGCTTCTGTCGACTGCAGAGGGACTCTTGGGAGCCCACGGGGACCGAGGTGGTGGAGGGTTTGTGTGGAGATGGTCTGGCTCCCATGCCCCTATCTACACCCAGTTCTCTGGTCAACCCTGAGACCGCCAGCCCGACCCAGTTCCGCTCATCTTCCCGCATGACGTCTTCACAGTCATACTCTCTCCATTCACTAGAAGAAGTCAATTATCACTCCTCGTTTCAATCCTCGTCTGGCAGTTTTGCTCCCCCTTCTTTCTTGACTGAGCCTGCGACCAAACTAGTGCCAGTTCTACCATCAGAAGATACAGAAAGTGCCCCTTCAGCCTTGAGTGACAGTCTGGTATGGGGGAAAGAGGACACTGGTAGCACTTGGGCACAGTATGAGGTCAGGAGGACGTTCTGAGATTGAACTGTGTAAGGAAGTAAAGGCTTAAAGCCTAGCAGATCAACACCTCTTCAAAACACAAGTAAGGCAATTAGCACTAAAATCTTTGTGTCAGTTTTACTTACCAGAGCTAAGGCTTAACATTGGGGAACAAAAATGACTACATTGTATCTTTATGTTTTATTTGTATTGTATTTGAATGTTCTAGTCATCGCAAGTTATATTGACTCAGCAGGATAATTAGGATAATAATCAGTATGAGACTGCATGTAGGCTATATCAGAATTTTTATTTCTATGGCACATTACGTGATTGTGAGTCTATTTAAATGTATATTATCAGCAAAAATTTAAGTGTTAAAATATTTATAGTTGATGTGTAATATCTAGCTAGTCCTATTTCTCTTCTTGTGACTGTTTCATTTAAAAGACTGTTGTGAAAATTGTATCTAAGGTAAATAAACTAGAATTACAAAAAAAAGCCTTTTTGTGACTCAACAGCGCAATGGAATTCAAGGGTCAGATGCAGTTTTGCATTTGAGGGAAAATCAAGCGCCTAATGTGAACACAACAGAAACAACTTTACATGCAATGAAAACGCAAACCCTTTATTAAAAACAACAATTAAAACAAAACCAGTTTTTAGTTATCCTATGAATAAGACATACAGTACCAGTCAAAAGTTTGGAAACTTTACTATATTTCACGAGTTCACACTTACATGTAATTAAATAGAGTCAAGGTTTATGCATATTTGGCAAACCCAGAGTTCTCCCCCCAGTTTTGATATTAGAACTAGTATTAGAACTAGAAGAGAGGAGATGGGGTGATGATAAACGGTCACTGAACAGAAGTCTGCTGTATATATTCCTCTTATCTCGTTTAGTGAGTTGGTTAACTGAATGCGCTCCTCTCGTGATAAATAGGTTCATTATCTAAACGGGCTCCTCACAAACTTTGTTAATAAAACATCATTTAATGTTTTTTAAGAGGTTTCTTAAAGGGATATTTCACCCAAAAAATTAACATTTTGCCATTATTTACTGTCCATCAAGTTGTTTCAAACCTGTATGAGTTTCTTTCTTCTGTTGAACACCAAAGAAGATGTTTTAAAGAATGTTGTAAATAGACAGTTGACGGCACCCATTGACATCCATAGTAGGAAAAAACATACTATGGAAGTCAATGGCTACCGTCGACTGTCTGGTTACCAACATTCTTCAAAATGTCTTCTTTTGAGTTCAACAGAAGAAAGAAACTCATACAGGTTTGAAACAACTTGAGCGTGAGTAAATGATGACAGAAATGTAAAAATACAGAAAAAACTGTAATATTGTGAAATATTATTACAATTTAAAATAATGGTTTTCTATTTTAATATACTTTAAAATATAATTTGTTTCTGTGCAAACTCTGAATTTTCATCAGCCATTACCCCAGTCTTCAGTGCATGATCATTCAAAAATCCTTCTAATATGCTGATTTCAAAAGTTAAATACTTTTTTTGGAACCTGTGATTCTGTTTTCAGGATTCATTGATGAATACAATTTTAAAAAGAACAGCATTTATTCAAAATAGAAATCTTTTCTAACAATATAAATATTTGCTATCACCTTTTATCAATTTAACACATCCTTAAAATAAAAGAATTAGTTTCTTTCAAAAAAGAAAGAAACAAATTACTGACCCCAAATTTTGAACGGTAGTGTAATTTTTTTTCTTAAAAACAAACAAACAAACAAAAAACGTTTTATTCATCAAAGAATGCTGAAAAAAGTATAACAGATTATAAAAAAATATTAAGCAGCACAACTGTTTCCAACATCATAATAAATCAGCATAAAATATTTTTGAAGGATCATGTGACACTGAAGACTGGAGTAATGGCTGATGAAAATTCAGCTTTTCATCATAGAAATAAATTATATTTTAAAGTAGGCTATATTAAAATAGAAAACCATTATTTTAAATTGTAATATTATTTCACAATATTATTGTTTTTCTGTATTTTTGATAAAAACAAAAACAAATGCAGGCTTGATGAGCAAAGAGACTTCTTTTGACTTCTCCAAACTTTATATTCAAATATACAACATTTCAGGATTAGGAGAAAAATAAATCTATATAAGGGGGGAAATCAAAAGATGTATGTCTATTTTAATTCTAACGTGAGGAAGTCAGGAATTGGGGAACTTTTTATGTATAAAAATGTACTGAAATGAAGAAATTGACAACATGATCATATATTCTTAATCTTTACTAAATATATTTAAAATCAGACCAGAACACCCGCCTTATTTCACAATAAAATACATTTAACATTGAGAAACAAACAAATAAAATATTGCTATCAAGTTGAAACCTCACAGGTTGCATTTCATGCTCTCTCTCTTTTTTTATTATTATAGTATAGGCTACTGATGAGTCAACAGACATTCCCTATATACTCTAGTCTATATCTTTGATCCAGTACAATTTACCTCAATTTACCCCCCCCCAAAAAGGAAATTTGCTGAATTAGCTATTATTACATTCATTGCCAAACTGAGTGCATTAAGTGACTCTTAATAAACAGTGTCAGACCAGCCTAGTTAGATGAAATACAGCTTGAGGTCTTGTGACAGGACCTGAGTGTTCCTCGGTTTAATCACCAGGGGGCGACATTCAACTGGCCAGATCTCGTAACAACCGTCCTCTCCTTTCTTACTGATGTATTAGGATTATGAAAGATCTGTTGATCAAGGTGAATGATAATGAGAGACTTGTAAGAAAATAATATTTTGAAACAGGAAGTCTGTTTGCAGCGGATTAACATTACAAATCAATTTCACAAAGGAGTCAAACGACTTAGAAATCCCACCAGTTGCATTCGGACTACAGCTACTACAACAAGATGCTTATAAAGACGTATTAATAAAGTACCCCATGTTTTATCCCAATATTTTAATCTCCAATTATTCTGCACTTGCGAACGAAATGTTTGTCTGTATACTAGGCCTACATGTCACATGGACCCGTTTTCCGACTTCTTTTCTAAGACAAAGAACACCTGCAAGTCATCCATTCCGCCTGTTTCCAGTCTTCTTAAACACGCAACCATTAAATATGACACAAGTAAATAAACAACTGCATTATGGTCTCGAAGAATATTCCACTTGGAGCTTTTTCGTTTAAATTATTATTAAAAAATAAAAGTAACTAAAGTCAGGTGTGAGATTCTGTTTGTGATCAGCATCCCTCAGGACCAGCCTACTTATTTTGGGGATCAATATGATTTTGATGATGATGATAAATATGCAATACGCATTGATTAACAAAACTATTTCATTAAAACAGATAATACCGTGAGAAAGTAAATGAATAGCCTAAATATTATTGTGAACATCGTTTTTAGTTAACTTGCTTTGGATCTGCATTTGCAACTGACCCTTTGAATTAAATATAGCCTATACATATAAATGACTAAATTTCATATTTAGCCTTCTCATACCTGTTCCCACTATCCCAGTAACTTAACTTTAGCATGCGTCCCAATTGTTCTAATGACAAACATGGCTGCTATCATATGCCACGCCCACAACTCCAATCATTCTTAAAATACTGCACAAATAAGATCTACACGACACAATAATTAATTTTTTTTTCAAGACTACCTATTAGAGAAGATATTTACAACGTGTAATGGAATGTAAAGCTTGATTTGTGCCTTCAGTCTCACTGCAAAGTGGAAATAGTGCTTCTAAGGGAGACTCCAACCACCAACAGCAAAAGGATGATAAAATGTTAAAAATATATATTTGGTTGATGTCAAAATGTGAAATAACACAACATTCTATTAAAAGAGATGTTAATATATGCATTATAATAGCGAATATCACTCAGAAATAAGTCTTTTTACGAAGCCTTTGAATATTCAAATTGAAAGTATCGCGCAATCAAATCATTGTCAAATCATTGAGTTCTTGGGGTTTTAAATAGTAGGGATGAGGGGAGAAAAACTCAAACTAAAATATCCCTAGCTATATTACTGTATAATTGTATGTCCTGAGAGTGTTTTGAGGTTACTTTGTTGAGACTTTTTAATACTTTTGTGAATAATTCGTTCTTGCCCATATAATAGAGCAAAGAAGTGACGTTGGGGTATTTCACTGTAGTTCTTCCAGAGTTTTCCTCCTTTTCAGGCCAAAATGTCTGGTAAGTAAATTTTCTTTTTTTCCTTCGTTTAAGATGTTTTGTCTTCAGCAACCTGAAAAACATTGAGAAAAAAATATGTTAATTAAAATCATTTAGTACATTGGTAAACTTTGCTTGGAAATGTGTAGTTCAAAGGATGCAGCCTTACTAATATCTTAAAACAGCAAACACGTGTAAAGGATTCAATTCAAACAAATTGGTGAATTTTACATGTATATGTATTTTAAATTATTTGGGCTATACATGCAATTACTTGCAGTTTAAGGGAACAATATCTCTGGTGATTCATTAGGCAAGAGCTCGAGCTTCACTGATAGCTTGCATTTTCTCTCTGGTTGTATTTTTAACTCAGCTTTTCTTCAAGCAAAACTGAATCTGGAAATTTATTTACTGTGTCTTTTTAGACTTTACGTTGTCGACCAGCGTGTCCAATTGAATGCAATGCTTTTAGGAATAACCAACAGTAAACGATGACTGAATATAATTTGGACATTTTAACCAGAATTCATGCCTTGCTTCAGAGCTTATATGAATATTTATTAGATAGGTTTAACTGTCAACGAGCGCATCAACACACTGCCGAAGGACGTTTTTGCTATCTTATTAACATCAGCGCACTTTTTTGCCCTCGTGTTGCAACTGCCTCCATGAACTCAACCATGGCGTGGCGTTGTTTGGAATCACTAATGTTCCGACAGAATTTTATATAGCTATATTAACACGGATCAGGAAGACGTCCCACTGTGTATGTATTCACAAGGTTGAACAACCAATTAAAAAATTAGAAAAGAAGGACAACTGTTTTTTCATCTATTTTTTTTTACACATTTCATATTGGGAGGAAGTTATTAGGCGCGGCTTTAGGCTACTCCAGTAGGAAGAGATACGAGGACTTCCCTTTAACTTTATCAAGAAATAATTTTACATCTGGCGAGCGGAACGCAAAATCCAACTTGGACTTAGGGACGTTTCTAGGACATTTAAAACAACAGA